ACCAGGGACAGGTGCAGTGTCAGGTGAGGTGACAGGTGCAGTGTCAGGTGAGGTGACAGGTGCAGTGTCAGGTGAGGTGACAGGACCAGTGACATGTGCAGTGTCAGGTGCAGGTGAGAGGTGCAGGTGAGAGGTGCTGTGTCAGGTGCAGTGTCAGGTGCAGTGTCAGGTGCAGTGTCAGGTGCAGTGACAGGAGTAGGGACAGGTGTAGTGTCAGGTGCAGTGTCAGGTGCAGTGACAGGTGCAGTGACAGGTGCAGTGACAGGAGTAGGGACAGGTGTAGTGTCAGGTGCAGTGACAGTGCAGTGACAGGAGTAGGGACAGGTGTAGTGTCAGGTGCAGTGTCAGGTGCAGTGACAGGTGCAGTGTGACAGGAGTAGGTGACAGGTGTAGTCAGTGCAGTGCAGTGTCAGGTGCAGTGACAGGTGCAGTGACAGGAGTAGGACAGGTGTAGTGTCAGGACCAGTGACAAGTGCAGTGGCAGGTGCAGTGTCAGGTGCAGTGACAGTTGCAGTGTCAGACACAGTGGCAGGTGCAGTGTGCAGGTGCAGTGTCAGGTGCAGTGACGTGTGCAGTGGCAGGTGCAGTGGCAGGTGCAGTGGCAGGTGTCTCACCTGTGGGCCACTCCTCCAGGCTGCACATGTTTGATGTAAACCCCCTGACAGCTGCTGCCTCCTGGAGTCAGACCCACGACACTGAAGCCCAGACCCCCAGAGACCGGACGAGACAAACGCACCAGCTCTGTGTGACGCCCCTGAAACACACACACCGGGGTTAAAGACTGGACCAGGACCGGACCAGGACCAGACCAGGACCGGACCGGACCGGACCAGGACTGGACCAGGACTGGACCAGGACTAGACCAGGACTGGACCAGGACTAGACCAGTTCTAATGCTGTTTCCTGGTCACACTCTGAGCTGGACTTGTGTTTTGTGTTTGAGTGACTCTTTATTATTCGTCTGTCTACATCTGCAAAGCTCCAAACACTCTGTTCCACCTTGTGATGTCATAAAGTGGTAGTTTTCAACAGTTCGAACAGTTCCTTTTCCCTTTAGTTCAATCAAGATCAGTGAAGAAATTCCAGATTGGCTGAAATGATCCTGATGATTCCAGTGAAGGTGTGTGGAGTTTAAAAACACAGAGGAGCACTACTTGTATCACCACATGATGACATCACCAGGTGGAACGGAAGTGTTTTCTGCAGGGTTTGTGTTGTGTGAATGTGTGTGAATGTGTGTGTGTGTTCTGGTCTCATGTTCTCAGACCTTTGCGTTGGCGGCGATCCACGTCTGCAGATCAAAGGCAGGGGGCGGGGCTTGGTGCGTGCTCGGAGCGCTGTGATTGGACAGAGATGAGGCGGGGGGCGGGGCCACGGAGCCGAGGACGAGCTGCCCTTTGGGAGAAAAACTGAAGTCTGCGTGAGCGTCGGCGGGTAAACTGTTCAACTGGAGAGAAGAAGAGGAGGAAGAGGAAGAGGAGAGAGCGATAACATTATGGTGTCCTCACATTTAAACTGCACAAATCTCTCTTTCTGTGCAAAAATCCACATCATGAAACAGATTTTTTATTTTTTTACTTGTAGAATCAGTCTGAGTAAACAAGTCCCTTCTGTTTTCTTCATGACTGTTTGATTTATTTTATCAGTTTTTCCAGTATTTTCTATCAAAATGTTCTGCTTCCTACAGTCACAAGATGGCCGCCACAGACACAGCGTTATTTACACCTGATCACAGACTGGCGGCCATTTTACTCATGTAGTAGTAGTAGTAGTAGTAGTAGTAGTAGTAGTAGTAGTAGTAGTAGTAGTAGTAGTAGTAGTAGTAGTAGTAGTAGTAGTAGTAGTAGTAGTAAGTAGTAGTAGTAGTAGTAGTAGTAGTAGTAGTAGTAGTAGTAGTAGTAGTAGTAGTAGTAGTAGTAGTAGTACCTGGTGTCGTACTTGTTTGATGGAGTACTGCAGGGTCAGTATGTGATTGTAGTAGTAGTAGTAGTAGTAGTAGTAGTACCTGGTGTCGTAGTTGTTTGATGGAGTACTGCAGGGTCAGTATGTGGTTGTAGTAGTAGTAGTAGTAGTAGTAGTAGTAGTAGTAGTAGTAGTAGTAGTAGTAGTACCTGGTGTCGTAGTTGTTTGATGGAGTACTGCAGGGTCAGTATGTGGTTGTAGTAGTAGTAGTAGTAGTAGTAGTAGTAGTACCTGGTGTCGTAGTTGTTTGATGGAGTACTGCAGGGTCAGTATGTGGTTGTAGTAGTAGTAGTAGTAGTAGTAGTAGTAGTAGTACCTGGTGTCGTAGTTGTTTGATGGAGTACTGCAGGGTCAGTATGTGGTTGTGTTGTAGTAGTAGTAGTAGTAGTAGTAGTAGTAGTACCTGGTGTCGTAGTAGTTTAATGGAGTACTGCAGGGTCAGTATGTGGTTGTTGTAGTAGTAGTAGTAGTAGTAGTAGTACCTGGTGTCGTAGTTGTTTGATGGAGTACTGCAGGGTCAGTATGTGTTGTTGTAGTAGTAGTAGTAGTAGTAGTAGTAGTACCTGGTGTCGTAGTTGTTTGATGGAGTACTGCAGGGTCAGTATGTGGTTGTAGTAGTAGTAGTAGTAGTAGTAGTACCTGGTGTCGTAGTTGTTTGATGGAGTACTGCAGGGTCAGTATGTGGTTGTAGTAGTAGTAGTAGTAGTAGTAGTAGTACCTGGTGTCGTAGTTGTTTGATGGAGTACTGCAGGGTCAGTATGTGGTTGTAGTAGTAGTAGTAGTAGTAGTAGTAGTAGTACCTGGTGTCGTAGTTGTTTGATGGAGTACTGCAGGGTCAGTATGTGGTTGTAGTAGTAGTAGTAGTAGTAGTAGTACCTGGTGTCGTAGTTGTTTGATGGAGTACTGCAGGGTCAGTATGTGGTTGAACAGGGGGCTCTGTAGCGCCTCCTTCAGGTTCTTCATGTTGTCGCTGTGGGTCCATTCTTCCCTCTGAACCAGTTTGGACTGAAGTCTGTCCAGAGCCGAGAGGACCTGCTGACGCTCGACCGAGGACACTGAGGACACAGAGGACAGAGAGAGGACAGAGAGAGAGAGAGAGAGGACAGAGAGAGGACAGAGAGGACAGAGAGAGGACAGAGAGAGAGAGAGGACAGAGAGAGGAGAGAGGACAGAGAGGACAGAGAGAGAGAGAGAGAGAGAGAGAGGACAGAGAGAGAGAGAGGACAGAGAGAGAGGACAGAGAGAGAGAGAGAGGACAGAGAGGACAGAGAGAGAGGACAGAGAGAGAGAGAGAGAGAGAGAGGACAGAGAGAGGACAGAGAGAGAGGACAGAGAGGACAGAGAGAGGACAGAGAGGACAGGAGGGTACAGGGGGACACAGTTACAGAGACAAATAAACACATAAACAGATAATAGATAAATAATATAAAGAAGCGTCTCTTACTTGTGGGGACATTTTCCAACATGATTCTCAGATTTTCTCCTCCTCAAATCCTGAACAAAACAAAAAAACAAAACCAAAGATTCAGTTTTTACAGTAAAATCCAGTGTGTTTACATTCATGCTGTGCCATGTTTGTCCATTAACACACTCTGTCCCAATCAAATAAACTAATAAATAAAATAAATAAATAAATAAAAATAAGACAGAGTAAAATATGTGAAACAGGACGCAGTTAGACCCTTAAAGACAAATTTTTACTACACAGAGAGAAAATAAAATAATAAAGTAGATTGTGTAGAGTACAGAAGCAGGTGAGGGTGGAGGATAAATGTGGATGATTCAGAAGGAAAAAGTTTATTTATTTATTTTTTTTAGGTGTAAGAAGTGGAATAGTTCACTGGAGAGAACCGCTGTAACTGAACTCATGACGACTGTGGTTATTATTATTTTTTCTCTGTTCTGTCCAAGTTGTTGTTGTTGTTGTTTGTTGTTTGTTTTTTGCTCACAGTCGTGTTCTCGGCATCGTCACGTGTGAACAGTTTCAGAAGTGATTTCACTTGACCTGGTTTAGACCTGGTTTAGACCTGGTTTAGACCTGGTTTAGACCTGGTTTAGTCTCTGGTTTAGTCTCTGGTTTAGTCTCTGGTTTAGTCTCTGGTTTAGATCTCCTTTAGACCTGGTTTAGTCTCTGGTTTAGATCTCCTTTAGACCTGGTTTAGTCTCTGCTTTAGTCTCTGCTTTAGTCTCTGCTTTAGTCTCTGCTTTAGTCTCTGCTTTAGTCTCTGCTTTAGTCTCTGCTTTAGTCTCTGCTTTAGACCTGGTTTAGTCTCTGGGTTAGTCTCTGGGTTAGTCTCTGGGTTAGTCTCTGGGTTAGTCTCTGCTTTAGTCTCTGCTTTAGTCTCTGCTTTAGACCTGGTTTAGTCTCTGGGTTAGTCTCTGCTTTAGTCTCTGCTTTAGTCTCTGCTTTAGTCTCTGCTTTAGACCTGGTTTAGTCTGGTTTAGTCTCTGGGTTAGTCTCTGCTTTAGTCTCTGCTTTAGTCTCTGCTTTAGACCTGGTTTAGTCTCTGGGTTAGTCTCTGGGTTAGTCTCTGCTTTAGTCTCTGCTTTAGTCTCTGCTTTAGTCTCTGCTTTAGTCTCTGCTTTAGTCTCTGCTTTAGCCCTGGTTTAATCTCTGGGTTAGTCTCTGCTTTAGTCTCTGCTTTAGACCTGGTTTAGTCTCTGGGTTAGTCTCTGCTTTAGTCTCTGCTTTAGACCTGGTTTAGTCTCTGCTTTAGTCTCTGCTTTAGTCTCTGCTTTAGTCTCTGCTTTAGACCTGCTTTAGACCTGCTTTAGACACGCTTTAGACCTGATTTAATCCTGGTTTAGTTCTGATTTAGTCCTGGTTTAGATCTCCTTTAGACCTGGTTTAGACCTGGTTTAGACCTGGTTTAGACCTGGTTTAGACCTGGACCACTGAGGGATCACACAGATATAAAGGCACATGGGAAAATAAAAAATAAAGTTCTTTAATGACACATGATACCGTCTAAAGAAATCATGTTTTTTGTGTATTTATTTATTTTTTATTATTATCATCGTGGGATCAGAACCGGTATTGAGTATCGTGTCTAATCTTTAGTATCGAAATCGAGTATCAAATGTTCGTATCGTTTTATTGTCCTGTACAATGTTGTGATGTCACCTGAAACTGTAATAATTAACTAACCTCACGGTCACATTCCTCTGCCGCCTAAAAACTCTCACTCCTCTTAATGAATCTGAGCGAAAAGTAGATTAAAATATAAATTACTTTAACAACAGGTTTAATTTAAAGATTAAACGCGGCTTTAACACCTGAACATCCCGTTTTTCTTTCGCGTCACGTTCCTCTAAACTCGCTCGGTCCGACCCCAGCTCCTCTTATCTCACTTTTATTTACAAAAACCCAAAGTGGGACACGCGTTATCAGCTCAAACACACGCGGAATCTAACCCCCAACCCGCTTTCCCACGACCTCCCCCCGTCTCACCTTCCAGCGCCGAACGTGCTCACCTGTGCGTCACCTGTGCGTCAACCAGGAAGCGAAACTGCACGCGAACAGGGCGGAGCTGGAGAAAAAATCCTGTTTACCACAATTTACAACACTTTATTTGACATTTTGCGGCACTTTCGAACGTCATTTTAACATTTATTTCAACGGTGTGACCAAAAACTTCGCGTAAACTCTCGGAATCCGCTCGGTAACAGGTGCATGTTCGCAATAAACTCAAAACAGCGTCAATTAACAGCTTCAAGCCGCAGTGACAATAATAAAACACACTTAAACAGTCATGTGGGACGTGCGTGCGTAAGGTTTAATGGTTTTGACGTGGTTAAAATGCGTAAAAATGAAGTTTATCGCGCGTTTCTGCAGCCGGAGCCTCACAGCTGTGCGGCTAACCCTGGTGTCCCGATGCTAATGAGAAACTGCGGGTTTAAATGTGTTTAAAGTGTGATTTTTGTGCGTGGATTCAGAGGTGAGGGCCGCGTGAGGAGAGGCGCGGGTGTGGAGAGCGCGAGGAGCGAAAAAAGTGACAGAAAAGTGCAGAAAAGTGGAGGAAAACTCACATGAAGCGCAGCGCCGTGAGGAAGGACCGTGTCGCTTTAATGCGGCTTTCACGGGCGGTGGGAAATCAGACACAAAAGGGTGTTGGCTGAACTTTTCCCGTCATAAACTGTAAACTGTGATATGTTTACGGACCTCACCTTTAAGCATCACTGTGGTGTAAACACGGACACAGTCATGGATTTATATTCTGTGTTCTACGAGTGACTCACGTATTTTGTATAAATAAAAAGAACCTGGCTGCTTCTGTTGTTGCCTGTTTGTGTCTGTTTGTACGGAAACCCTGTGTGGCAAAAAAAAGTGGCACATCATTTGTTGTTGTTTTGTTTTTTTTTGTTTTTTTGTTTTTTTTTTCACCAGCAGCTCAAAAAAAAAAAAAAAAGTTTCTTGATGTTCTTTTTTTGCACTAAAAGATTTCTTTTAGATTTCTTTTTTTTTTTTTTTTTTTTAATGAAACAATAGTAGATAAACTAATATACAGGGGAAATACTTAGGCTATTTTTTTTTTTAATCGGCCGCATAAACAGTAAATAAATAAATAAATAAATAATTAATTAATTAAATAAATAAAGAAATGTTGGCTTTTTGAGCAAATTTTGTGCACATATATATATTTTCTGACATGTTGTTTTCCCCAAAAATTATAATAATAAATAAATAAATATAATATAATTTTTTTAAATTATGAATTATACAAATTATACATTTTGCATTTCTAAATACAAATATATATTGTATTTATATTATATTATATTATATTATATTATATTATTATTTATTTATTATATTATATTATATATAAAGTATATAATTAATATGGAGCTATTCATTTTATAGCACCATCATGAAGTCACAAATAAACAAATAAAAAAAACTACAATGAATAAAATAATAATAAATAAAATAAATAAATAAATAACATATATAAACAAATAAAAGTTTAACCTTTATTAGTTTTTATTTTAAATTTAGCCTTTATTGGCTTTTATTTTAAGTTCAGTTAAGTTTAATTCGCCTTTATTTGACCTGTTATTTCTTTTGTGTGTCTCTTTCAGTGTCACATTCTTTAAAATATTTTAGTTTAGACTTTAGTCACTTTTATTTTAAGTTTAGCTTTTATTTTAAATTTAATCTTTATTTTCCTTTATTTGACCTGTTTTTCTTTCTTTTGTTTCTTCCAGTGTCAGACTCTTGAAGACATTTTATTTTAGTTTAACCTTTATTAACTTTTATTTTAAATAAATTTGACCTGTTATTTTTTTTGTCTGTCTCTTTCAGTGTCAGATTCTTTAAAACATTTAAGTTTAGCTTTTATTTGCTTTTATTTTAAGTCTGACCTTTATTTGCATTTACTTGACCCGTTTTTGCCTGTTTTTATTTGTTTTTTGTTTTGTTTTTGTCTGTTTTCGTTTCCGTCTTTCCCGGAAGCGGCGTGTGTCACGTGACTGTCAGATCCAAAATGTCGTCCCGCTGGAGCCGCTGGTTCCGCTCGTCTCTTTGGACTTTGTTCTTTTACGGACTTTATTGTCACCTGAGGCTGGTTCTGGCGGAGGAGGCGGACAGCTGCGAGTCTCTGCGCCTCGGACAATATCCTTTTACACTTTAAACTCTTAATTTTAGCACAAATAACCCGGGGCTGGTGCTAAGTGCAGTTAGCATCCGCCGCGCTCCGGTTTCACACACAAACAAACAACTTAAACTTTTATTTACTTTATTTTCACTCACGGATTCATGTATTAAACTGTTTATCTTTATATAGAGTGACCAGGTTTCCCTCTTTACCCTGGACAGTCCCAGTTTTGAGTAGTTTGACCAGAATTTCAAAATAAACTGGAAACATCCACAATTTTTTGTTGTTTGGTAAAAATAAAACTTTAAAACGAGTCCGGGATTACTTTTTTCTGCAGAGACCGAACATGAGACCAATTCAGATTTTCTGTATTTGACCAAAACAAAAGTCAGCTTATGTTTCTCTTTACTGTTGCAGGATCAGGTTGGTCAAAAACAGAGACACTGGGACAGTTCTTGTATAAAACTGTGACAAAGCAGTGGTTTTGTGTAAATCTGCAGGGACAGAGACACAGGCTCTATGATAATGTCATTTAATATATACTTTCAATTATGTGTTTATTGACATTCAACATCCAAATTTTATGTGAACTACTCTGAGTTTTCTGACCAACTGCATGTGATGTTTATAGTTTGCTTTACCCATATTGTTGATGTATTTCAACAGGATAATAAAAAAAACAAAAAAACATATTTTGGGGGGAACATGGATTATTAGATGTGAATATTACAGTGAAATGGCAAGAAAACAACCAAACCCGGTCATTTTTGACCCACTTATGCATCTAAGTCAGACGTGTCAAACTCATTTTGTTCCGGGGTCGTGTCCAACCGACTTTGATCCAAAATGTCCGGATCAGAAAACTCATGTCATATAAACCCCAAAAATAACAATAAGTTCAAATATTTGTACAGAGAAACACAAATCTGTTACAGAAATCTTTTTAACTGATGAACTCTTTCTTTTATAAAATATTATAATATTATGAACAACCTGAAACTTTAAGAAAAATACAATTTCAACACAAAGTTTTAACATGAACTTGTCTGTAAACAGGAATAAGTCCATTTTTGTTGTAAAATCCTGCACTCGGCTCCACTTTTCTCATGTTGGACATTTTTCTGATGAGGGTGTCACGGTCAACAGTCAAAACGATCGTCCTTTAAGAGCGTTTGGAAAGAGACAAATCTTCATTTGTGCTGCTCTGGTGGGAGGGGCCACGTACAGAGACGCTGGAGACGCTGCTGTGATAAACACCACAGAAAATTAACAAGATTTTAATAGAAAATATCATTACAATATTTTAGTAGAAAATCAACCGAGGGCCAGATATTAAAGGTCTTGGAGGGCCGGATCTGGCCCCCGGGCCATATGTTTTGACACCCCTGATCTAAGGGTTAATATATGTAGGTCTTTTAGTTTTGTAACCAGCACCATTTGATTCCCTGACCCTGAAAATGTGGGTTTAGCATTAAAATCAACATTTCAACTTATTCAGAGGCTGAGATATTCCAAAAAGAGCTTTGTTTTTTTTCTTGATCCAATATGGCCGCCATACAGACATCTGGGCAAATGCAAACATTGATTTTCTGACTCCACACACAATAACCTTTCCAAAAATATATAGTTTAGTAAATCCCAGAAAAAAATCCCACAAAAGTATAAAGTGAACTGGACTAAATGTTTGGTTTCGGGCCGTGACTGCACCAATCCAACAATCCAACATGTAGAGTTTGTGTTTTACGTTTGATTTAGTTTTTTTTACACAATCAGGACTCAGATTTGACTCCTCGTGGGTTTTATTGACAATGAAACTGTTTTCTTTAACTGTTTTTTTTTAACGTATTTGTGTAACGAACCAAAGATCGATGAAGCCACTCAAGAACCAGAGAACTGCAGGGACATGACGGCCTGGGGTCAGTGTCTGCTCCTGCCTGCTCCTGCCTGCTCCTGCCTGCTCCTCTGTCTCTGCTCCTCTGGTTCTGCTCCTCTGCTCTCTGCTCCTCTGGTTCTTCTCCTCTGGTTCTTCTCCTCTGCTCCTCTGGTTCTTCTCCTCTGTCTCTGGTTCTTCTCCTCTGTCTCTGCTCCTCTGCTCCTCTGGTTCTTCTCCTCTGTCCTCTGTCTCTGTTCTTCTCCTCTGTTCTCTGCTCTCTGTTCCTCTGGTTCTCCTCTGGTTCTGCTCCTCTGTCTCTTCTCCTCTGGTTCTGCTCCTCTGGTTCTTCTCCTCTGTCTCTTCTCTCCTCTCCGTGATTTTTTCCGTGATTGTTTGTGTGTTTTTTTCACAGTGGAGTGTCGTCCAGCTCCGAACGTCACGTGTCGTCTGTCGAACGGGACCGAGTTCAGGTTCAGCGGAGAAGAAGTCGGATTCAACAAAACCATCCCCTGTCGGAACGTGTGAGTGTCCGAGAACCGCTGGACTCTTCAGACGATCAAAACAAACCGGTTTAAATGTGATTTGTGGACAACAGATCTACACTTGGATCTGTTTATGTTAATGATGTTTTAAGAGGATCAAAGCCCAAAATCATCTTAAATTTTATTTTCTGTCACTGTAATTACTGCAGCTGCATTTTGTTCTATTTATCAAAGATTAACAACAGTTTTGAGAGTTTGTATTTATTTCACGTTCTTTAGAAAGTGACCTGTTATTTTTATAGTCAATTTTACAATTGAATATTTACTATTTACAACAATTTACTTTAAGTGCACAATACAGAAATGCCACATTTACATCAGAGCTTTAATTCAGATTTAAAATAATTGAATTCCTCTTTAAAAAGTCCATGAAGACACTTAATTCCTAATGAAAATGATTTTTCTAAATTAAACTGATTTGGTTTATTTTGTCGTCGTTTGTTCTTGTTAAAATGCTGCTGGTGCTTCATGTTCGTCGTGTCGGACAATCTGGCTCCACCAGTCCTGACTTCGGACTTTCGGAGTATTTTATTCCCAAAGACGTAAATCTGTTGGTGTCTCTGTCCAATCAGAACCTTCCCCACCCCCAGACGCTCACACATATTAAATAAAAAACATTTCACCAATTTAACACGAAAACAACAATTCATCTTTATTATTTACATGGAAACACAAAGGAGAAGATTTGAATTCAGGACTATTATTTCAGAATTAAAAACCTCATGTAAACGTGGTCATTGTCGTCTGTCTGTTGTAGGATTCAAAGTTCATTAGAATCTTTCTGTCAAACCTGCGTTGAGTCTCTGTCTGTCAAATCCAGAGTTGTTGTTGTGTTCAGTGGTGTAAACGTTCGTGTGGTTGCAGGAGCGGATACTCGTACAAAGTGGCCGTGGCTCTGTCTCTGTTTCTGGGCTGGTTGGGGGCAGACAGATTCTACCTGGGATACCCGGCTCTGGGTGAGACGCAGCAAACACAAACACACAAATAATGAACAAATCACACTTATGCTCCAAACCAGGAAGACTTTAGGAAACATGCAACGAAACTTCCAGTGAACTTCTCTGCTCAGATCTTTTTTTTTTTTTTTTTTTTTGTATTATTACTGCAGAAGCCCAGATACAAACCAAAATAGGCAGATCACAAACGTACACACTAGGGACGGGCATGATTAATCGATTAATTGATAGTTGATCATTAAGAATTTTATGGATTCCGTTAATTTTAATGGACAAACTGAATGTATGTTTGTGTGTCGTGACCAAACAGGTGTGTACATGTGTCTCTGCATCAGAAGGAGCGAGACACAAACAGTGGGTCAGTCTGTAACGAACCGAAGCACAAATGTGGATTTAACCAGGATTTGTACAAGAAATTCCACACTTTCCGTTGCGAAAGTCACATCAGCGACACAAGAGCTGGAGTTTTATCTTCACTTAGTTTATGTAAATTAGTGATGTGGTTTTAAGTTTTGTTTCTGTGAGATTTGAACAAAACTGAATTAAACACATTATAATGTCAAACAGCTGATGTGGCTCTAGAGTCGTTATGTTTATATGTCGTAAAGTTGAATTTATTGATGCAGATTAGTGCAGATAGTAATAATAATGATGATCATTTTAATAGAAAAACGTTAATGATTAATCGATAATCGATCGTTGATTCTTCTGACGATCGATTAAGAAAATTTCATCGAATGCCCGTCCCTAGTTGTAATTGTTGATGAGTTAAACATAACAGAACACTACAATGACATGGAGATGAAGAAAACTGGGACATTTTCTCATTTTTCCTACATTTTGTCAGACTTACGGCCACGAACAGAACCCAAAGGAAGTTTCATCACATGTTTTCAAAATCAAATGTGGCCCATTTCTTTTTCTTTTTGACATTCAATTGAGCCAGCAGTATTGGAAGAAAATAGTCAAGAAAATAATTACAAAAAGATTAGAAATGATACAAAACATGTCTTAACATTTGAACATTTCTAGTGAGATATTTGGGCCTGTGTGTGTTTTTGTAGTGTGTTCAGTCCGGCTGCAGGAGGAGACGCAGCAGCAGATCAGGAGCAGCTTCAGTCTGTTTCTGTTTCTGTTTGTTTTCGTTTTTGTGAGCACAGAAAATCCCAATTCTCACATATATGTAGAAGTGAAAGGAAATGTATATCACAGACCCACATGCAGGTCGTGACAAGGTGACCCCCCCAAAAAATCTCTTGCGACCCAGTCTGTGGGAAACGATGCTTCAGATCACCAGTCCTCAATGAAAATAGATTTTTTGTTAACCAATCAGTACCTATTGTTCATGTTCCTTACTCTTTGGCCCATAATGTGATCGTTGGAGTGTTTCAGATGACGTCACAACACTTAGGCCAGCGTTATTTAATACAGATGGAGGGAGATAAAAACAATATTGTTAAAATGCAGATTTGTGTTGTAGTACAGTGAGTTCTTGCGCATTTGTGCTTTGGCGTGTTGCAGACTGACCGACTGTTTGTATGTCGCTCCTTCTGAGTCACAGACGCTACGAGAGACGATCAGTTTAATGACCAATGAAAGATCATCAAAACGCGGACATTTACATCACTTAATATAAATAAAAAATTCTTAATGATCAATTATCGATTAATTGACTAATCCTGCCCGTCCCTAGTCCAGACACTGATAGAAATGTTCAGGTTCAGCATTTGAGCATTTACCTTTTGGATATTTCATGGTAAAGTACAAAATGATGCGTAAGAGGAAGAACCGTGTCTTACTCACATGTGAGAGAACGACACCGGCACATTCTAGAACCTGAAAACCACCAACAGCAGATCTGGACCTGGAGCCTGTTTGTTCTTTTGCTGCTCTGTTTTAGCCGCATGTGTGTAACCCTTTGTGTGTGTGTGTGTGTGTGTGTGTGTGTGTGTGTGTGTGTGTGTGTGTGTGTGTGTGTGTGTGTGTTTGTGTGTGTGTGTTTGTGTTCCAGGTCTGTTGAAGTTCTGCACTGTGGGCTTCTGTGGCATCGGGACGCTCATAGACTTTATCCTCATCGCCATGCAGGTCAGAACACACACATGTACACACACACACACACACACATGTACACACACACACACACACACATGTATACACACATCAGGTAATAATTCAGTTTTCTGAATCAAAAATGGGGAAGTGTGTGTCAGTTGTTCTGATCTGTGTCCTCAGTGTTTTAACCTCATACACCAGGAGTATTCTGTGTATTTAAATGGTTTTGGGATTCCAGAAATCCTGGTTCAGTCCTGGTTTAGTCCTGGTTTAGTCCTGGTTTAGTCCTGGTTTAGTCCTGGTTCAGTCCTGGTTCAGTCCTGGTTTAGTCCTGGTTTAGTCCTGGTTCAGTCCTGGTTCAGTCCTGGTTCAGTCCTGGTTCAGTCCTGGTTCAGTCCTGGTTTAGTCCTGCTCTGGTCCTGGTCTGGTCTCTCTCTGTTGTCTTTGGTCCATTAGCTGCAGCTGATGGATGAGTTTTGTGTTTTATCTAAAGAGACGACACGACCCGAGTTTATTTATCAGACCACAGAGACAGAGCACACTCATCTGCAACTACAGCACGAACCACACGGTTTAGTCCTGGTTTAGACCTGGTTTAGTCCTGGTTTAGACCTGGTTTAGTCCTGGTTTAGACCTGGTTTAGTCCTGGTTTAGACCTGGTTTAGTCCTGGTTTAGTCCTGGTTTAATCCTCGTTTAGTCCTGGTTTAGACCTGGTTTAGACCTGGTTTAGACCTTGTTTAGTCCTGGTTTAGACCTGGTTTAGTCCTGGTTTAATCCTCGTTTAGTCCAGGTTTAGACCTGGTTTAGACCTTGTTTAGTCCTGGTTTAGACCTGGTTTAGACCTGGTTTAGTCCTGGTTTATTTATTATTTGTTACATGAATTTTCTTTTAGTTTTTTTCTCGTGACAGACGAGGTTGAACTTTGTCAGATTTTGTTTCACGTGGAGAGTTTCAGGATTTACAGAAACCAGGTCACACATCTGCACCTGTCTCACCTGTCTGTGTGTGTGTGTGTGTGTGTTCAGATGGTGGGCACCTGTCTCACCTGTCTGTCTGTTCTGTCACCTGTCTCACCTGTCTGTGTGTGTGTGTGTGTGTTCAGATGGTGGGTCACCTGTCTCACCTGTCTGTGTGTGTGTGTGTGTGTGTGTGTTCAGATGGTGGTCACCTGTCTCACCTGTCTGTGTGTGTGTGTGTGTGTTCAGATGGTGGTCACCTGTCTCACCTGTCTGTGTGTGTGTGTGTGTGTGTGTTCAGATGGTGGTCACCTGTCTCACCTGTCTGTGTGTGTGTGTGTGTGTGTTCAGATGGTGGTCACCTGTCTCACCTGTCTGTGTGTGTGTGTGTGTGTGTGTGTGTTCAGATGGTGGTCACCTGTCTCACCTGTCTGTCTGTGTGTGTGTGTGTGTGTGTGTGTTCAGATGGTCGGCCCGGCGGACGGTTCTCATTACATCGTGGATTATTACGGCGCTCGTCTGACGCGTTTGTCCATCACCAACGAGACGTACAGGAAACCTCACCTGTCTCTGTGACGCACCTGCCGCACCTGCACTCTGCACCTGACGTAAGTGTGTGACAGGGGCAGACAGGGGCAGACAGGGGCACAGAGGCTGTAAATGTAAATGTCTTGTTTAAATCATTTCTCTAAAGTTTCTGTTAAATTGGACATAAAAAAGCAGAAATCCTCTTTGCTCCGTTTATTCCGTTTGTCCCTCTGCTCATCACTTTTTATCGATTTTGTTTCTTTTTGCCTTTAAATTTAGTTTCTAATTTAGTTAAATTCATCTCCATTCAGAACTGAAGTCTGATAACAGGAAAAATGACATAAATATAATAAAATATTAACCAGTAATTATTGGACTGAACCAGGACTAAAAAAGGTCTAAACCTGGTCTAAAAAAGATCTAAACCTGGACTAAAAAAGATCTAAACCAGGACTGAACAGGACTAAACCAGGACTAAAAAAGGTCTAAACCTGGTCTAAAAAAGATCTAAACCTGGACTAAAAAAGGTCTAAACCAGGACTGAACCAGGACTAAACCAGGACTAAAAAAGGTCTAAACCTGGTCTAAAAAAGATCTAAACCTGGACTAAAAAAGATCTAAACCTGGTCTAAAAAAGATCTAAACCTGGACTAAAAAAGATCTAAACCAGGACTGAACCAGGACTAAACCAGGACTAAAAAAGGTCTAAACCTGGTCTAAAAAAGATCTAAACCTGGACTAAAAAAGATCTAAACCAGAACTAAGAAAGATCTAAACCAGGACTAAGAAAGATCTAAACCAGGACTAAAAAAGATCTAAACCAGGACTAAAAAAGGTCTAAACCAGGTCTAAAAAAGATCTAAACCTGGTCTAAAAAAGGTCTAAACCTGGTCTAAAAATGATCTAAACCTGGTCTAAAAAAGGTCTAAACCAGGTCTAAAAAAGATCTAAACCTGGTCTAAAAAAGGTCTAAACCAGGACAAAAAAGATCTAAACCTGGTCTAAAAAAGATCTAAACCAGGTCTAAAAAAGGTCTAAACCAGGACTAAAAAAGATCTAAACCAGGACTAAAAGAGATCTAAACCAGGTCTAAAAAAGGTCTAAACCTGGACTAAAAAAGATCTAAACCAGGACTAAAAAAGATCTAAACCAGGTCTAAAAAAGGTCTAAACCTGGACTAAAAAAAAGGTCTAAACCTGGACTAAGAAAGATCTAAACCAGGACTAAAAAAGATCTAAACCAGAATTAAACCAGGACTGAACCAGGTCTAAACCCTAGACCTTTGCAGAGACACGTTTTACATTTCTTTGAACATTTTCTGAGTTGGAGTAAAGTTTCCTGGATCGATTCCTGTTGGTCTTTTGGGTCACACTCTGAGGTTTGACTTTAATCCCTGGAGTGAGTCCTGCTCCGTCCGTGACCTTCAGGATCTGCTCCGGAATTAATCTGAACCCACGAACAGTCCGAGTCCGAGAGCCCGAGAGCCCGAGAGTCCGAGAGTCCGAGAGGTCGAACTTTAAGTCGCTCGGACTCGTTTAGACGCTTTGTGTTTGAGGAATCAGACGAGTGGAAGACAAAAACTGGACGATTTCTTTTTTCTTCTTTTTTTTTTGTTCAGAAGTTTATTTCATAAGAATCTCCAAACATCAGCACCGTCAGGATGAAACACTAAAATAAAGACAAAAAGCCGAGTAAAAAACACACACAAAACAAAGTCAAAACAACGACCAGAGTCACTTAGTCTCATAATTTAAGTCTCGGCTCAGTCCACCTCAGGTCACCCAATGAGTTAAAAACCACTTTGTCAAATTTTGATGAAACTAAATGTAGGTATTTTGTAAAGTCAGAGCAAGAAAAAATTAATTTTCAGATTTTAGTTTGATCAGACGAGTGTTTTCTGAGATTTTATTTTTCACTTTTTCGGTCGCTGAATTTCAAACTGCATTTACTCACAGCAACTACTGGTCCCGTATCAAAAACACAAGGAATCTGTGGAAAGGGGAAATCATCGAGAATCCAGTTTTTTTTTTGGATTGACAATTTTTTCTTGGAGTATATCAACTTGGGCTCTGTGTGTGTAAATGTTCGTGTTCACTGAAGGGATATTTGTCTCGTCTTAAGATGGGGGTAAGTCGATTTGTAGGTAAATTTGTGTGAAAATAAAAACAAAAACCCCTCCAGATGTTTTATATGTTGTAGTACAGAGCTACATTTTTCCTGTCGGTGTCACTGAGGTCGGGCGTGTCCTTTATTGTTAATTTCAAGGTCAAAATATAGATCAAAAAGTCATTCAACTCAAAAATTCCGTATGTTTTCCCCTCTCCAGAGATTCCTTCATTTTTTTTTTTGATATGGGACCAGTTGCTGAGTAAATACAACAAACTGAAAAAATAAACTTGTGATCTCAGAAACCGTTACTCTGACAATGCTCAAATTTTGTCTTTCTTGGCTCTGACTCACCCACATCCCGATTTTCTTTGGACATTGAGGGATCAAACTGTATTTTTTCGGGGTGAATTGAAGTGGAATGACCCCACCGTGTATTAACTCTTTCCCCCCTGGACGCCGACCAGGAACAACCCACACACATATATGACTGGTTCTACCCTTAGACCAGGGGTGTCAAACTCATTTTGGTCCGGGGGCCATATCCAACCTAATTTGATTCCAAAGTGTCCGGATCAGAAAACTCATGTCATATAAACCACAAAAATAACAATAAGTTCAAATATTTGTGCAGAGAAACACAAATCTATTACAGAAATCTGTTTTAATTGATGAACTCTTTCTTTTACTAAATATTATAATATTATGAACAACCTGAAACTTTAAGAAAAATGCAATTTCAACACAATGTTTGAACATGAACTTGTCTGCAAACAGGAATAAGTCCATTTTTCTTGTAAAATCCTGCACTCGGCTCCACTTTTCTCATGTTGGACATTTTTCTGATGAGGGTGTCACGGTCAACAGTCAAAACGATCGTCCTTTAAGAGCGTTTGGAAAGAGACAAGTCTTCATTTGTGCTGCTCTGGTGGGAGGGGCCACGTACAGAGACGCTGGAGACGCTGCTATGCTCAGCACCGCAGAAAATTACCAATATTATAATAGAAAATATAATTAAAATATTTTAGTAGAAAATCACCCAAGGGCCACATTAAAGGTCTTGGAGGGCCGGATCTGGCCCCTGGGCCTTATGATTGACACCTGTGACTTAGAGCATCACTGCATAAAAGAAAACAGACTTCCACCAGTGATTATAAATGATTTTTACACTCATGAACTTAATTGAAACACAGACATATTTGTATCTCTGGAAACTTTAGACTCTGAACTCTTCATTTCTGGATGTTTAAATGTGATTCAACTCATTTACAGGTTTATAACAGCTCACTGAAAATGAGAGTTTACCTGCTCAGGTGCAAAATCCAAAACAAAAAAACTACATTCAGCATCTGATATCTGCAGGTTCTGAGTATTATATTTAAAAAAAAATAATTAAAAATATATTTGTCAAAGTATTTAAACAGATTTCATATCAGCAGATACAGTAGAGCCAAGTGTTCACCTGTTTTTACCTGTTGTTCATCTGTGTGCACCTGATTCATTTTTTTCATTTAATTTATTCAACTCATTTATCTTATTATAATATAATAATATAATAATAAAACTCTTCCCCGTCAGTGTGAGTTCAGTATTTATCATCTTGGTTATTTTCTCATGTGCAGAGCTCCACATAAGTGTTTGTTTCTGTAGTGATTCTGTCAAACTTCTCATCTTGGAAAAAAAGACTGAAATATTTTAAAGGACTCGTCTGAGCAACATCCAGATTTCGGGGCAGTTTTGGTTCATAATCGAGTATAAAGTCCAGATAGTTTGTTGGGACATTGCAGGACTCCACACAGACGCATTTCACCTTCGTAAGATTCACTCTCTGTAAGTCCGTCGCTGTCACTGTTTTCCACTTTATAATCAACTTCAACATCATCATTTATAAATCTATAAAAGTCACTTTCTCTAAACTTATCCATAAAATACGTCCGCTCCTCATTATTTCTAAAACTGTGCGCCGCAGCGCCGCGATCTTTCCATTGCTCGTGTTTTGTGTTGTGTTTTTTCCGGAAGCTCCAATCGTCACAACTTCGATTAACTTCGGAAAAAATCGGCAAAAACATCTCCTTGAATCCTATTGGTCAGTCTAGTGTGGGTTGTAGTGGCCCCGACCAATCACAGTCTCTGTTTACATGTGAAAAACTGAGTTGTTTCTAATGTTCGTTAAATCACGTCTTTAGTGAAACAGTGAAGAAGTCAAAACACGACATTAAGGAAACAGGGTCAAATGTCAAATGTCGTCTTCATGGGGGAAAGAGTTAAACAGAGCGGTGCATAATTTGAGTTTTTTTGTACAGTTGTTCCAGAGCTTCCCTCCTTTTACAGACAAACTCAATTTCATCATGTTTGTTGTGATTTTCTCTTTTATAAACGCGGTCGAACCTCTGAGCTCAAATCTGCTCTTTTGGATTTTCAACATGTTCTGTAGTGACTCTGACATTTTAAAAATGTAAAGGTCGACTAAATTGTAAAATTAAATGTTTATTTGCCTTTTTTGTGAGGTTAAGATTGGATTTGTATTCGTCTTGTTTGAATTGCCCCAAATCTCAGCACAAGTGAAGAGAAAGTGAACTTTATTGTCCATCAGAATGTTTGTTTTTTGAGGTATTTTTGGGCTATAAAACCACCTGGAAATGAATAAATGTAGAGTTTTTTGATATAATCCAAACCAGCAGGTGATGTACAGGTATTTGTACTTTCTACTCCTCTACATTTTTAAACAGAACTGAAAATTAAGTGTTTTTTTTTTATCATATTTTATAGTTTGAGGCTTTTTTTTTTAACAAATAAACAAATAAAAACCTCAGGAAACCTCACCAAAAAAAAAAAAAACTTGATTCGATTGTTATGACTGAACAAAATTCAGCAAAAAAATCTCAAAATCTGCGAGAAACACTTTTACTCTTTAAGTACATTTACATACAACAGATACTTTAATACTTTTTCATATGATACTTTTACTTTTACTTGAGTATTCTTTTGCTCCAGTATTTGTACTTTTACTTTACAAAATTCAGTGCTTCATCCGCCGCTGCAGAAAACGTTCTGTCTTTTATTGAAATAACTGCAGACTTTGTGATTTGATTTTTACCCAAACTCAAACTGTTCTGGAGTTTTTTAGGATTAATTGTCAGATAAGTTCAGATAAGTTTTCAGTCTTGTCCTGTTTTTTCTTTCTGCAGGTTCATTCTTCTGGACTTCAGTCGAGCTTCTCTCCATCTTCCTCTTCTTTGGTCAGACGTGGGTTTATGTAAAAGTTGCCGCTGTCGTCTTCTTCTGTTTTGTCTCTTTTGTAAAATACACCGTTGCTTCTCATGTATTTATTTAATTTTTTTGTAAATACAGTTTTATTTTGTAAATAAGCATCAGTTTTTGTTTCTTAAATGTGAATATGTAAAAAATAAACTGTAAACACATCAAACTGTAAAACTTTCTTTTTAATATTTTAAAAAACATTTCTTTAAGGCCTGGTCCTGTGTTCTGTGGAAATGGTTTTATTGATTTATTTTTTCAGAGTTAAAAAATTTAAAGTGAGAAATTCAACAGCATTTAAAATGTTAAAATCTGATGAAACAAATGATCTTCACAAAGCAGCGAGTTTCTACTTCAGAAAGTTTCACCACGAGGGAAAATCTGTCCAAACGTTCAACAATTTACATGCAAGAAACTTTGTTTCCTAATATTTTAAACAATATTTCAACAAAAATAACAGCGTTGTTTTATATTTTTATTCATCGTATATTATTTTCTGTGACATTAGAGGAGTTTTGACTCAGTGGAAACAGTTTTGGAATCTCCTGATGTGAGGTCAAGATTTACAACCAGGACGTAAGGTTTAAATCTTAAAAAATGTTTCTTGTTACCTTTTTTTTTTTTTTTTAATTCATAATCTCTGTGATATAATCATCTTAGTGAACTGGACAAGAATCAACACAACCAATTAAATAATAAACACAAATAAGGACAATAATCATTTTTAACAAAAAATGCAACCAAAGATTAAAGGTTGTATGGAGGATTTTGTTTGTTTCAAATTGTCAGTGATAGATTATAGATGCAGTCGCCTTGTAATTATGATGACCAAAAAAAAGAGAATAAAAATTCATCAACTCTGGACGTGGTGGGGCTAAACATTTGCCAATAGATAACGACACTGCCTGCCTCGTTATCTGTGAGCTGACAGGCTGTCAATCTAGTGTAACTGACTCCCTACGTTTACGACGACACAGACGCTGTTTACTCCACCAACGCAACAGTTCTTAGCAGCTTTTTTTGACCTATATCTTCCTCGCAGTTCGCACAAAGTTTGTTGCGATGGCGACAAGAATCCAGGAGCAGTTCGCCGCAAAAGAAAGTCCGTTTTTGAGGTGAAAGAAGAAGACAAGGGGAAAAGCAGCGAAGCCAAACTAAGGTGATTCTTGGAGATTCATTCCAGCGATGGCGCGACTGAAGCAGACGAAGGGTCTAAAGACTGAACCACTGGTCCACAAATTACTCCTGGACAGGAAACTTCTGCTTATTATGAAAACGTACTTTATTTCCAAGAGCTAGACAAACGTTTTTCAGGACACGAAAGCGATATCCTATGTCTGAAAACGTAATTTTCAATGCAAAGAAAGAGTCCGCTTGCTGCTGCGTGTTGTAGTTAGTTCATTTGCACTGAATCTCCGCGCAACCTTCTCTGCTCCCCTTTCCTGCTCCTGTCCCCTGCCCTGATCCGCTCTTCCCCCTTCTCCTCACTTCTCCGTCTTGTCTAACCAACACTGTAGTTAGTTGTTTACAAGTCATGTGCAGCGGCTGTAAACAAACCTGTTTCTGGCGTAAAGAGGAGGAGGGAGGAGGTGTTTCTACGTAGGAGCTGGGGGGGGGGGGTTTTCACGCAGGAGCAACATTTGAAAAAGGACAAACAGTCACTGGATTTCTCGTTCCTTGGAAAATCCTCTATACAACCTTTAAGGATACAAAATATAAGAATTAAAAAATAAAATTAAATAAATAAAAAAATTGCCAAAGTAGAAAAAAGGAATTTCTTTCTTCTTTTTTTTTCATAATCTCTGTGATATAATCATCTTCGTCAACTGAACAAGCATCAAGACAATTAATAAAATAATAAACGCAAATAAAAACAATCATTTTTAACAAAAATTACAAACAAACATTAAACCATAAGGATACAAAATATAACAATAATTATAAACAAACTAAAAAAAAAAAATCCTAAAAATTGCCAACTAGAAAAAAAAAGGGATTTTTAAATTTTATTTTATTTTTTTATTTTTTTTAAGCAAAATCTTAAATTTAGTGATCATGAAAATGTTTTAGTAAAATTCCTAGTCCAACTTGTCAGGCCCTTTAAACGTAAAGGCAAATAAGAAGTAACAAGTTGCAGTTAAATGTTATAAAACATTATTAACTCATGTTCTGTGAGTTTGTGTTGTTGTGGGGCAGGAGTCTCCAGCCTTGTTCCTCCGGGGAGATATTTTTATAAAACATAAACACCAGAGAGATGAGCCCCGCGCTCGTTTAAATGAGTCGCTCATCACCTTGTTGACATGTTTCTGCTGCTTCTTCTTCAGATCTGTCCTGGTGTTGGTGGTGACGTGTCGTACATCATCTGTTGTTACTTCCTGTGGGCGTGGTCAGACCTGATGGACCTGCAGGTGGCTCAGACTGACCACGCCTCCCTCCCATAAACACATTCTGGATCAGGACGAGGTTCGGGTCGTTGGATCAGAAAACAACAAGTTCAAACTCTGGATCAGGGAGGACGGAGAAATCAGGAAACGAGGCGTAGAGCGTTAACCCAGATGACGGAGCCTTCCTCCTGTCACACACCTGGGACACCCTCCTCCAGAGACACCGGGCGACGGGAGGCGTGGTCAGTCTGAGCCACCTGCAGGTCCATCAGGTCTGACCACGCCCACAGGAAGTAACAACAGCTGATATACGACACGTCACCACCAACACCAGGACAGATCTGAAGATGCAGAAACATGTCAACAAGATAAACACACTTCACTGTCCATCCGTCCATGTTCTTCTTCTTCTCTGGCGTCGGGTCTCGGGGGCATCAGTCTGAGCAGACACTCCCAGACTTCCTTCACCCCAGACACTTCCTCCAGCTCCTCCAGGGGGACCTGAGGTGTTCCCAGTCCAGTCCAGAGACATGGTCCCTCCAGTGTGTCCTGGGTCTTCATCCTCCCTGTGGGACATGAACACCTCCTGAGGGACACGTCCAGGAGACGTCAGAACAGACGCCTGAGCCCCTCTTCACTTTACTGTATCTTCTTTAAAAATAACCCCAGAAGAAAAACATGAAACTCGGTGCTGCACAAACCTGAACCGTCAGAGTTACACATGAAACAAACAAACAAACAGACAAACAACAGGACACACAGACAGATGATCCTGCTTTAAAGGGACAGTTCAGAGTTTTGGACATAGAGCCTCATTTCCTCGTGGTCCAGAGTGTTGGAGACGTGTGGAGACACTTTTTTAAAATATTCCATCCAGTTCTTGTATTTGCAGAGGTAAAAAAAACAGAACAGTCTGACCCACTCCACAAAACACCTCAAACAAATCTATTCTTCCACCAGACTGTCCATGTGAACGTCTGTGTCCAGAGAATCATTTTAGAAGCAAAACCAAACTTGTATTGAAGGATTTTTATCTGAGCAGCAGTGAGTTGTTCTTCCTGATAAAAGCTCGACAGCGGCGGACTGATATATGAGAAAATAGTCCCTCAACATGCGACGATTCATGCGACGCAAGGTTAGTTTTACTTCTAAAATGAGTTTATCAACACCTCTGCAAATACAAGACTCAAAAAGTGTCTCCACACGTCTCCAACTCTGGACCACGAGGAAATGAGGCTCTACGTCCAAAACTCTGAACTGTCCCTTTAACAGAGAAATACATTTACAGTGATACTTCATCAGATTTGAGTAATTCAACATAATAAATATGATTGATAAATCCGTGGCTGAGCTGTTTGGAGGAGGTGGAGAGTTTCTGGAGGCTCCTGCTGTGGACGTCTGTGTGAACTGAAAGTGTTTCTGTGTTTTTAAACCGAGTCTGTGATTATTTCTCCAATGAGGAAAACATGAGACCAGGACACAACAGAGAGACTCTGAAGAAAAGATTGTGTTTAAATAAAAAAAAAAGGCAAACAAATCGAGTCCCACCGACCAAAATACCTCCTCTCAGTCCTGGTTTAGACCTGGTTTAGTCTTAGTTTAGTCCTGGTTCAGTCCTGGTTTAGACCTGGTTTAGTCTTAGTTTAGTCCTGGTTCAGTCCTGGTTTAGTCTCTGGTTTAGACCTGGTTTAGTCCTGGTTTAGACCTGGTTTAGTCCTGGTTCAGTCCTGGTTTAGTCCTGGTTCAGTCCTGGTTTAGTCTTTAGTTTAGTCCTGGTTCAGTCCTGGTTTAGTCTTAGTTTAATCCTGGTTCAGTCCTGGTTTAGTCCTGGTTTAGTCCTGGTTCAGTCCTGGTTTAGTCCTGGTTCAGTCCTGGTTTAGTCCTGGTTTAGTCCTGGTTCAGTCCTGGTTTAGTCTCTGGTTTAGTCTTTGGTTTAGTCTCTGGTTTAGTCTTTGGTTTAGTCCTGGTTTAGACTTGTTTTTGTGAAATATTTCTCATTATGGGTTGAGGTAATTTGAAGAAATCTCTTTTCTGTGATTTATTTCCTGTTTCAGTTTTGTTTCAACATGGAAGGTCTGTACCAGGACTAGACCAGGACTAGACCAGGACTGAACCAGGACTAGACCAGGACTAGACCAGGACTGTAGGAGGTCAGATGCTGGTGCTGCTCACGTGGATTTTTCTGAAGAGGATTTATTCTTCTGTGGTGTTTCCTCGTTCTGGTTCTTCACTTTTATTGAACTTCAACAAAATCAACATCAATCAAGTTTAGTCCTGGTCTAGACCTGATGTAGTCCTGGTTTAGTCCCAGTTTAGTCCTGGTTTAGTCCGGTCTTGACCTAATGTAGTCCTGATCTCGACCTGGTCTACTCCTGGTTTAGTCCTGGTCTAAACTTGACGTAGTCCTGGTTTAGACCTAATTTAGTCCTGTCCTAATCCTGATTTAGTCCTGATTTTGACCTAATTCTGACCTGGTTCTGACCTGGTTCTGATCTGGTTCTGACCTGGTTCTGATCTGATTCTGACCTGGTTCTGACCTGGTTCTGATCTGGTTCTGACCTGGTTCTGACCTGGTTCTGATCTGATTCTGACCTCGTTCTGGGCTGGTTCAGTTGGAGATAAAAGTTGATTCTGTGAAAATCGTTGCATAAATAAACTTTAAACTTTCCTCCTCGTCTCTTTTCTGACTTTACTCCTGGTTTATTCGGCCCAACCCGCCCTGACCTTTGACCTGTGACCTCTGACCTGTGACCTTCCGGCGAGTTCCCCAGAGACGGGCACAGAG